CTAATTGGCTTCTATCTGCTTCACTGGTCTTACGTCCAGCATGTACGCATTCCTAACCCCATTAACTACGATCAGCATGCACACACAACACTACTAACACTGAAAACCGCCCCAAAGACCCCAACTCTAAAGGACACGTGAGCTTCTTGGATGGCACTAGAAGTTATAATAATGACGGTACGATACTTAAAGTTAGCATAGCAGAGCTTTATTTTGTCTTTCATTAAAGCACTTCAAGTTGGGATTAATCCTGAGAGAAAAAGCTTTGTGAAATCTAGCGAAAAGCTTAACTTTAACAAAGCTTTATTGTATTCAATAAGGGTTCACAAAAAGCTCTTTACTGTTGCATGGCAAGAAAGTTCTATAAAAGCTTAAGATTAATCAGATATTAAGATCGATCCAAATATGTTCTTAAAGTATAAAATTGTTCTACAGATTTTACAGCCCGTAATAGTAATAAAATAAAAACAAAAAATTTAATTACAACAAAATTAAGACAGATATAACAACTAAACACATTGAAAGCTCTTCAATGTTGCCCGTTAAGAAAATATCTGATATATAAATAAAAGCTTGATTCATAATATATGTATATATAAAAGACAAATATGATGCTAAGAAATATCTGATATATAAATAGAAGCTTGATTCATAATGTATGTATATATAAAAGGCAAATATGTTGCTAAGAAATCATTTGAAAAGCTTCCTATCTTATAGCCATTTGAAGCGACTGTCCTTGAGTATCCCCCATTAAATATAAATATGCATGCTTGCAGGAATGGTTATGGCTTGTTGTTGATGCAGTTGCTCTGGTTTGCTAGTGCTTAGAGAACGTTGCTGGTGCGTCCCTCGACCTTGTTCATACTCTCATTGCAGCGTCTGCTTGCCTTGCCACGCCCCCACTCGAATGTCTGAGTGCCCGAGACTAATTGGYATTTGATTTATTTATTTATTTTTGTGATTTGGTTAGATCGCACGCCCGATCGCAGCACCTGGAAGTGGAGCCTGAACTCGAGCAGCAACTCGACGCCGACGTATTTGGAGCGGCGCAACGCTTGTCGGCGCAGCGAAATCCGTTTGCGCAATTCCAAATTCAAACGCAAGACGCTGACCAACTCCAGTTCGGTTGACAGCTTCAATGAATCGCTGGAGCAGCCCTCGCCGGAGCAGGCAGCGGCAGCAGGAGTCGCCACCAAGCCGGCCAAGCCGCTGTCGCGCAACAACAGCCTGGACGACACAGCGCTGCAGAAGCTGGCCGCAGCCGTGCGCTATCGCAACAAGCGCGACTCCAAGTCCAGTGCCAGCAAGGAGCCATGCAAGTGCGAGGCGCAGCAGCAGCAGCAGCAGGAGCAGGAGCAGTGCGGTTGCATATTGCGGGAGCAGCGCAGTCGCACCAAGTCCCAGAGTCCCGTGTTTAGCTACAAGGCGCTCAAGGAGCGCAGCAAGTCGGTGCCTCGGATCAGTGGCTTCAGCCTGGACGAGCAGCAGCAGCGGGAGGCAGACGACGATAGCGCCGCCTCGCTGCGTGGCAGCAAACCCGATCTCAGCGAGCGCAAGGCCAAGGCCAAGGGCTTCTTCGAGGTGAAGCAATACAATCACAAGACAATGCCCAAGCGCATTGCCAACCTGAAGAAGCAGCGGGGCAGCTGCGGCGGCAGTGGCGGCATTCGCAAGGAGAGCTGCTCCACGTTCTACATGGATCTTAGTGAGTTCGATAGCTCGGCCGTGCTGAAGATCACCGAGTCCACGGAGGACCTTGAGCTGGCCGAAGAGGCGCAGGAGACCAAGGTGGAACAGTATTACGACTGCCAGCAGGAGGCGCAGCCGACGCCCGCTGAAAAGGCGAAGCGGGATGCAGAGATCGTCCTGGATCTGCTGAAGAACACCAAGGAGTTCGAGCGCATCTACAACAAGAACAAACAGCAGAAGCAGCGCCGCGACAGCAGCCAGGCCACGACGCCGCTTAGTCCCAGCCCGGAGGAGGCGCCACCTTTGCCGCCCCGTCCGCCCTCGCGTTCGCCGCCGCCGCTGGAGGCGGAGCAGCTGCAGCAGCAGAAGCAGGAGCAGGAACAGGAGGAGGAGCCCATTTATGAGACACTGCTGCGCAACGTCCATGTGCCCTATAAGTTCTCCCCAGTGCTGGGGCGCGCCAAGTCCGTGCAGTACTTCAAGAAGCGAACGCCCGCCCCACGACCCGAGTCGGACTACGTGACGCTGGTCTATTCGCCGGAAGGCGTGCTGCAGCGGGTGGGTGAAGATGCAGTGCAGCAACAGCAGCAGCAGGAGCAGCGTGACAGCACCGGCTCGGAGTCCAGTTCGGGCTCCACTGTAAAGCGCGACAGCCAGTCGACTGTCATCAATCTGAGCCTGGAGTCCAGCAACTCCGAGGCGGATCAGATCGATGCGCTTTACGCGCGCCCCATACCAAAGAACCTAGTGAAGCGCTTGCTCAATGGCAATAGCACGTCGGGCGGTCAAAACGTGAGCCACTCGGAGATCTCGCTGCTGCCGCGTGCTCTCAAGTCCATCGACAATCTGAGCATGGCCTTTGGGCGCACTCCGAATCGGCCGCCCGAACGTCGCGTCTCCGATGTGAGTGAGATGTGCCGCCAAAGCATTTTGCATCGCCAAGGCAGCGAGGCGGTGGGCGAGCGCATGGCCCACGTCGACTATGCGGATCCGAAGACGCTGTTCAGCATCATTGCCAGCTCGGAGGCATCGCTGCAGCGCGACTCTGTCTTCTCGCTGACCTCCTCCTCGTGCACCTCCAGCGACAGCATGTGCGATCAGCAGCGCAAGCGCTCGGCCACTGAGCTGCCTGCATCCGGATTTGAGTATGAGCAGCATGTGGAGGACAGCTTGGAGAATGATTTCCGTGATTCGGCCATCTACAGTGACGACAACAACGAGAAGCGCAGCACTGACTACGATGTGAAACGGCCACGCAGTCCCCCACCTCCGCCGCCGGCCAATGGATGCGAGCGTCACCCGTCGCCTCCACAGATAGCGCCGAAGCCAACAAAACCAACGCTACAGGAACTGCTGGGACAGCATCATCCCAGTGTGGTGATCTGTCCACCGCATCTCAGCCAGGCGGCATCGCGCAGCTGGGTGCTCCAGCAGATCGAGAACTTCAACAAGTAAACCAGTTGAGAAAAATTCCTTTGTCCATTGCCATAGAAATTCATCCTGTTTGTATTTTTCATGATTATTATTAATTAATTAATTATTGTATATATGGAAATACTTTTAAAATAGCGACTATCTATATGTATATACAATGTACGTGTGCATCAGTCCAAATTATAAGAATTGTAGATATTTTATGCAATGTGTAAGTGTAATTCTAAGATGATTTGCGGCTAAATAATATTTGAGGATTTGATCAAATGTATATGTGTTCTAGCAACTGTAAAAGTATATTCATTAAATTGCAATATATAATAATAGATATGAGCATTGTACCCGCTAAAAATTACAATAAAACAAATAATTTAATAAAAACAAAGAAATATGTGTTCGATTCATCATTTATGCAAATTTAAATCTAACGTTTACCCAAAAATGCTGCATACTTTTCTGCTGCGCAAGGTTTGAGAAAATCCAAATTATCAGTGCATACTTTCAGGCATGCCAATAAAATGTATGCAGCAAAAAATGAATGGTAGCATACTTTTGTGCTGTTTCGTATATTGGCTAATGCAGTGTTTTGCTGCATACTTTTGGGCTTCCATATGAATGCCGAAATATACAAATTCATTGCATACCCGCATGGGCTGACCATTGGCCAATATAAATGAAAAAAAAAAAAGAAAATATATCAAAATGGAAAATCCTGGCCATATCCTTGCACATGGACATGGTGTGTTCGTATCGTTAGGGCCTCCTGCATCGATCCCCATTAAAATATTTTGCTGTTATCTAAGAATCCACGACTGGTAATATTTCTGCTTCCGGCTGGTCCAGCGGCCAAAGGATATCAGCGAAAGCACACAAAATCGCCAATATCTTGGCAACCGCTAATGCGATTCGGATGTCCTTTGGCCAGTTGATAGCTCTGGTGACCCCACATTGTCTGATGCAATATTTGTCAGGATACGCAGGCTTGCTGATGAGCTATAGGCGTTTTTCTTTATAAAAAGAAGTCCTTATAGCTCAGTTGTTTGAAGGACTATCGTTCTTCTGATGACAAATTCGTCCTCAGCTAGATGCATACTTTTTTTGCTCCAATGGACATCCTGATAGTCCTTCAAATGGCCAAGTTAATGTGCACCTTGGCCACTTTCTGACCAAACCCCTTGCAAAAATTGATGAAAAATTTTTAGTGGAAATTTGGAAATTCTTGAATGCCAATCGATAGTACTCTCTCTCACGAGCTCAAAAAAGTATGTCATTTAGATATCCTTAAGGATATGACCGAGATATGGTATCTTAAAAATATCCTGTTTTAAGCTAAATAGCTATAACTTTGCCAAATCCTGAGGGATTTTTGCAGGACATAGTGCATTAAACTCGGAAGGATCAACTGTATTAATCCATGTTATATTTTGATGGTGTTATCTAAGGATCAAAGGACATAATTTTCACAAATAATTGCAATAGCTTAAGTGTATCCTTGAATATCCTGCCAAGTTATATATCAAACGATAGGCAATAACCATCGTCATCATTCACTCAAAGGATATAAAATATCATCCTTGGTGTGTTTGAGTTATAAAGGATTTTAAGTTTGGTTATCACTGTCTATCGGCTTAACTTAACTAGCTTCGCATACCTGCCGCTGTTTCTGTTCATCCGGCCTTTAGCTGCTATATATTTAGATATTTTGTGAAACAAACTGTCAATGGAAATAAAAAAACGGGTTTGATTATATTTTTTAACATGTTATATTTTAATTTTTTTTTTTTTTTACATTTTTCTTATACTGTGTTATTAGAGTAACAAAATTCATATTATAATGAGACAGCATATTATAGATCAATTATGATATAAACAAATACACATATATATATTCATATAATAGAGATACATTATTGGAGACATAATAAAGTTTTTTAATCATAGACAGACAAGATTTTAATACGGCTATAGTTGTAGTAGCATTTGTGCGTCCATCCTGTGACTTCAAGACCATTTTGAATTGACTGTTTAAAAAGGAATACAGAAATTTTTAAATTGTATTAAATGTTTTTATATTTGTTTAAACATGTACCCTCACAGTTGAAGTGATATCAGCAAGTCAAGTTGTATAAGTATCCACAAGATAAGACTGTAGTAGAGCTGCTGTTCCAGAGAGCTACTGTTTACTGATTGCGCCGCTGCTTAGAACTAAAGACATCAAAATATAGCTACAATATAAATGAATAAAAACTTAGCAGCAATTCATATAAATATATAAATTCGCCAAGGTCATGCTTCCGTTTCTTTTGATGCTGATGAATTTACTGGCGTCATCTATCGGGAACGACTGGAAGCAGCTGCTAAAGGCAACGCCTAGCTGCGCCATCTAGCGATGGGCAGTTTTTGTTATACAAATATAAGCCAACTTTTATGTGAGTTAACTGAATTAAATAATGTTTAAGTAAATAAATATAGAAGTAGCTCAATTAGAAACAGAGCTTCTAAATAAAAATATATATCAAGGTTTCAAATATTCTGTTGGTCAAAAATAACAAATATTTTATAAACAAATAATGGTATTTGCACAAGTTTTTTTTATTTTTATACATAGAAAATGCTATAAGTTCATATACTTTTTATTTTTCAGTTTACATACATAAGTTAAAGAGTCTTTTTCTTTTCCAATGTTAAGCTACCGGGGGAAAGCTGCAACTTTGCCAAAACCATTTTATAGAGAGTCAGTTGAAAGAACTGTAACTCGTCTCATAATGCAGCTTTATAAAAGAACAAACAGGAAACAGGCTTAAAATTTGTTTAAACAATTGTCAAGGCCCTATCAGATCCATATTTATTTGCTTAAGCTTTTATGCCGATTATTTTGCTATAAAGCCGCAAATTTTGCAGGCTCTGATGTCATTTTTAACTGAATCGTATAACTGAATCGTATAACTGGCATTGAGTTATTTTTCTTTTCGCAGATATGAAACTTTTACTGCGAAGCAGATGTGCAGCCCGAAAGGCCCAAGCCGAAGCGAAGCTCATATCTCTACCGCTATCAACAGCAACAACTACAACAACTACAACAACAACGACAACAAGCAGAGCAGATGCAACTGGTTCTAGAGAAACTGCAACAAGTGCAACAAATGAATTGAATGAAACAAAACCACTTTACAGCTAATTAATTGTCGGGGAAATATTGAAAAGCTTCAGAGCCGCACTGATATGATATTCTAATAGCTTTACAGAACGTGTTTACTGCATTGTAACTTGTTTTTCACATTAAATTACAAAAAAAAAAAAAAAAAAAAAAAAAAAAAAAAAAAAAAAAAAAAAAAGAAAAATGTTATGAACGATTGACTTGATGGTATAAGGCGAATTCCCCAGATAATTATCAATAAAGCAATGGGTTATTAGATATATATGTAAATGCAGATAGATTTTGCATAACTTGAATCATAAAGAAACGTAATTCATTTTCTATCCGGAACTTAATCAGTTTAGCATATATTTAATTTACACGCATTTTCTTTATATATTTAAATTACAATTATTTACATAGTTATTTATTTAGTTAGGAGTAGCTTAAGCTTAAGGCGACGATTTGTTACTGCACGTTTCGCCTGGGATGTATATAGTAGGAGCCCGGCTCATCGTCCTCCCGGTAGATGGCGCTCAGGATAAGGAATAGGCTGGCAATGGCCAAGGCGCGCGCTACATAGCCAATGCTGCGATAAACAAAACTGCGATTACTATCGGACATTGTCGATAACGATAATTAAAAGAAGTGTGTGCACTAATCAAGCGTAGCAGCTGAACTAACTGTGTCGCACAAGCAATTCAACACTTTTATTAGAACTGCCCGCCATGTGTGTGCATGTGTGTACATGTGTGTGTGTATGAGCTTGTGATTTACCCGCAGAGCGAGATTACAGCGTATTGGGAGAAAAACCCAAAGTTCTGACAGTTGTGTATCTCCCGCTCTGCAGATCTTTCAACTGGCATTCAGTTTCAAAGCGCAACATTTGACAGCCATGCAAATTATTTATTTGATTCTTTTTTATATTTATTTTTGCCATGCGAACGTTCAGCTTATATGTACGTGAGACGAATTTTAAATAATCGGGATTGCGGCGCAAAAAATATTCTCTGAACAAAATGTTTATTTAATTGGGATCTGGACGGCTCTTAAACCGGCCACAGAAAAGATTCCAGAAATCTGTAGAACACAAATTGAAAATCATTTAGTTTTTACTTTTACATTTTTCACTTACCTCATTTGCCGTTGAAATTGTGGCAAATGGCAGAAATGGGATATTTTACAAAGAATGCGAAGTGGCAGCTGCACCACGAAGAAAGCCGGAGCCAGCAGCAATTTCTTCAACTGCAACATTCTAGAAACTGATGATGTCCTGTCAAGGATCCGCCATCGACTGAGCTCAAAATCACAATATGTACAGGTAAGGCATCCTAGCCAGGTAACGAGCGAGCTAGCGAGAGGGCTGAGCACAGAAAGATAAAGATAAAAGGAGGAATGAGAGAGGATGCAAAAATCGAGGGCTGAGAATTTGACTAGAAGTTAAAAGTATATGGAGAAATTGAGAACGAAAACTGTAGATAGAAAATAACAACTCTTATATTAATATACATTGAATGCATGTATGAATGAAACACATTTTAAGCCACCCTCGTATATGAGTATACAGTATATGACAAACAACTATTGTAGTAATCTGATAGTTTAGAAAACTATGCGCTCGACAGCTTTATAAAGTAAATTTGAAGTAGGAATGATATATGTATATAAAATTAGAATCTGAAGGGACTGCATCAATAGACAATTGTTTGATTTATATAGCTCAGTGATTTTGGGGCGGGAAGTGCATTGAACTTGAGACGAGTAAATGTTACTAAATATAGAACACGCCACGACTCCAACGGCTGTTGGCTGTTCCGCTTAGTTCCGCTGCAGCCCTGAATCCGCCACTTCCTATGTAGCTATAAATATGCATCCCCATCCGATGCGACTAGACAGCTGGCAGCTATAGGTATATATACGTATATATTTAGAAAAATAGTGGATGCTGCCGCCAAGGCCAGTCCAGTGCAACGTGCAGCGCCATGGAATTCAGAAGTGTGCCTATTCTGCCAACCTATGCAGAATCCAGGTGTGCACCGTAATATATACTAAGAGAGAAAAATTGTTTAAATTAGAGTTTCTTATTGTGCAGCACGGATACCAAGAGAACCTCTCTATGTCCTTATAGGAAGTTTAAATCACCTGATCCGGTCATCATACTGATCACCTTGACCGTGCTAGTGGGCTCATTTTGCCTGCTAAGTGGCTTTATACTGCTCTGTGTGGTATCCAAGGCGTGGCAGGATGCTACATCTGAGGCTATTCTCTTGATGGGTAAGTCTTAATTCTGTCTTTTGGATCATCGTTCGGTTTGTTATTCTATGTACAATCCTCAATCGCAGCCATTGGCTTCTTCATCACATCATTATCCTGCGTCACCTGGAAACTGACGAATGCGCAGCGTTTGACTCAATTAAGGGAAACCATTGCGATTTAATTCTTTATATGTGTATAAACGGAGAGATACATATGTATAAATGCCAACAAATATTTTTTTCGGGCTATTTATATATAATAATAACCGCAATTAATTGAGCTATAACTAAGCTAACTTTTTTGCGGTGACCACATATATGTACATACTTATGTATGTAGTATAAAGTGAAATGACCAATAGGTAAAGTTCCATTTTTATTAAATATTGCTTATTATTATAGAAGAGTTCATAGTAAAATTTAAATTTCTATTTTATTGATAACATATGAATACTAATCTGTTTATCAACGATGAGAATTATTTCGATAACTATCGTTGAACTATTTAGTCGCTTGTATTTTAAATAAGTATTAATTTTTTCCTCTCTTATTTTTTATTTATCAGCATAAACAAAATCATGTATATATTATTCTTTGTAATTTAAATCAAACAACAAAACAAATCGATGTTTGTCAATTGAAAACCCATGTTTTAAGTAATCAACTCATTTGGCACCGTTAAAAAATAAATTTTTAAGCTTGTAGTAAAATATAAAATGAAATGGGTTTTCGCCAAGTGCAATCAAATTAGCAGGCATGTTTAAAAATATTTAGCCAAATACGACTCTTTTATGTGGTTTTTAACGTCAGGACAGAGATTATAAAAGTAACGCGGCTAAATTCAAATAGCCGATCAACAGCATATGTACATATATGGATATCACCTATTGATAGAATTTTTAGTGGTTTCATTTTAAATATTTATTTTTGTAATGTATATATACGTTTAAATATGTATTTAACAGACAAAAAATAAAATGCAACACTAACCAGTGAATTCAGTTAGTGCAGCTGTTAATAACAGTTCAGCGATATGTTAAGTAATGAGCGAACCATTCGGTTCATTTGAACATCAGTTACTTTTACATGTGCACCTTTTGTTTTTGTTTACAATTGAAGTTCGTTACAATTTTATTCTGCACAAAGTTTATATGTTAAAAACTGCATAAAATGTCTGTTATCGATTCTGTTATTATGTAATTTGTTCGCGACAACGAGTGTCAGAGCCTGCAACGAAAGTTCCTTTTCCACAAAATAGGAAAATATATAAATAAGCAGGGCACGACAATTAAGGCGACGCTTGCTTAACGACTTGTCAAGAAGGCAAGTGAAATAATATACAATCGTTTCTTCTTTATGATGCGTGCGTCATAATTGGCACGATAATTACCACCCACCTTCATCGTCACTATAAATAGTACAGAGGTTCACATCCCATACCTTTGGCCCTGGCTATTGATTTTGTTATTGCACGTGATGCCAAGACAAAAACTCAATAATCTATGTAAGTATTCCATGTGTGTGTGTGCGTGTTTCTATGTGTCTCTATGTGCGTAATGCTGCCAACGGCCATTTTGGCTTTTGAACGGAGCCCGCTGCCGGGTCAAAACCCAGAAGCAGCACAATTCATGCCTCATTGCTGTTTTGTAAGCCATTGGCAATATATCATTTAAATATATCATTTCAAGTATTTTTTTTTTCGAAGTTGGTGTGTCACACCAAAAATAAAAATTATCTAAATTTTATTGTTTTTCAAATTTTGTTATTTTTTTTTTATTTTATACATATATTTCTTCAAGGTAAGCGCACAAGCCCTCAATTCATTGGAACCTAATATTATGCAAGGCGGCAATCAAAGTGTACAATATACTTTATCTAGTTGTAGACGCTATATACCAAACATACATATATAAAGAGTCGAGATATATATATATATATATATATATATATGCTAGTGGCACTCGCTAGTGATAAGCACTATTAGTTATTAGTTGTTCGCACTGCTGCCTTGCAATTATGTTTGGCGCCTTTGTCCACCTACCGTTGAAGGCGGCGGCGGCGATGATGACGATGACGTCAAAAAACCAAATGATCAATATTGAATTGTTAAAAATGAGACGAATCGCGCTAATGTCTTGCCATAGTGCAAGCAGATGTTCGAGTGCTGCAGTCCCCCTTCTCGAACCCCAACAACTGCAAATACAACTATATCGACGACAACCTCAACAACAACTCCGATTTAAACAGGAACTGCTGTGAGTGTGCGAGATAAGCCCCTAAATAAGTTAAACCGAATCAAAACAAATTTTGTGTACAATTCTCTTCGATCTGATAACACGGCTCGGGTTCGAGTGTCCGCCTGATCACCCGCCCGCCCACTCGTTAACCCGCTCACCAGGCACCTCTTCGCTCGGCCGTCTATCAACTGTTTTGAGCACCTCGTTCTATCAATTAAAGCCCATACTGATGCAACTGAATTTAAACTATGCATTCCATAAGTCTACAGAGAGCAGAGACTTCTCTACAATTTGTCGTCGACTAAATACCCTTGCAAATGGTAGCTGTGTTTCGGCTATAGTGCTCCGATATAGTCGGAAACTTTGCCCAGATATTGTCAGCAAAACGTGTTAAAGATATCTTGATAGCTGATATACGTGTGATAATGGTTCGTTACTGATAAGATTTTGGCTAGGTGTAAGCATTGGAGGGCATATCGTAAAATTTTTGGAGTCCAAATCGTTGTATGTAAAGTGCGGACGAAATATCGTACTTGTTATTTTTTAATTATCGTAGCTTTATCCAAACATCATGTAGAAGGAATATCGTAAATTTGGTTGAGCTAAGACCCTGACATTTAGTCATTTGAGCAGTGTAGAGCGAATATCGTAAAATGTAAATTTATTCGAGTTAACACTGCGACATTTAGTCGTATGTAAAGTGTTTAGTTAATATCAGCAATATGTAAAGCGTTTTACGATAGCGAAAATATCGTAATTGTGTTTGAGTTAAGAAAGTAGCGCTTAGTCATTCGCCAACTGCAGAGAGAATACTTTTAAAGCCTAGACAGTATCGACTCAACTTGTCTGATGCGGATCCGCAGTAGGTGCTATAAATCATATCAAGAGCAATTCCACAGCTAAGCATGCCCATTGCAAGGGTATAAGAACGATAAGATATGGCTCACAGCCCAAACCTCCATCTAATAGTATATGTGCTTATAAATATATTCGCGTGTATATATTTACATATGTACAGATCATATCATAACAGGCCGAGTAGTGGCAACCAGTGTCCGTAGTTCCATTCAGCAATTTGTTCATACAGATAAAGATACAGTTATATGTGCATATGCATATGTATAAGTTTCGCAGTTAACATTGTCACAAATTGTAATTTTGTGTTTCGCACGCCTTTAATCCAAAATTGCAGCCGCTGCCCCGCTCGGGATCAAAGCAGCAAGTCAACTTGTCGAGGAATACACACGGAGCCATTCGGTCAGTCAGTCAGCATGTTCAACTCGATGTACGCGTACCTGTCGCACCTGCCGCGCCTGCACGCCCTCGGCATAGCGGTCTTTGCCTATGTCATCTATTACCTCATTCAGGTGGTGAAGGTGAGTGAATAAACGCGACTTACGCAACAGCTTAGTCAATTGTCTTTCATGAAAACTAACGAAGTTTCGTAACACCATATTCAGCGGCCGATCATTGCCTGTGCCGATGGGCCGTTCAAGCAGTATCTGATCAAGAAGATGCCCACGCTGGAGAACAAATACTGGCCAACCTTCTGGTGTGTGGAGAGTCGGGCACAGACTGTACTTGCGAGCCTGCTGCGCTCCAAGAGTTTGCCCCGTGTCAATTATCGACGGTAAGTCATGGCTACTAAGGACATACAGATGTACAGCCAGTCAGCTATTCCGCTAGCCAGCCATTCAGCATCAATTCCGATGACCCATAAAACCATTAGATGACAGACATTTTAGTATTCTTTGCAATTTGAAAAGGTCTTGAGCCGAACACAGATTGCTGGGCGTAAACATTGCAATAAATATAACTCAATTAGTGACAAGAATGCCCTGTACTCGTTGAAAAGCGGTTCATAGTATAGACAGAAGCATATACGGTTCATAGAGTATATATGTATCTTTAGATTGATTAGATTTAAAGTAGACGCGCTAAATGGCAATTCAATTCAATAGAATTCTAGAATTAAGCAAGCAAGAATGTTGCAGTCGAGCAGCATCGACTGCATAATACTCGTTCACGAACTCAGAAGAGATCTGCATTAACTTCGCTTTAAAATTTAAATACGACATATCTTATTTAAAATATCTCTCTAAGAATGAACCAATTTTATATTATATAGATTAGATATTATAAGTCTAATCTAATCTAATTATATATCTTTACTATTTAAAATACTTTTAAAGAAACTTGCTCTCTTTACTCACAGTGAAATACTCAGACTGAAGGATGGCGGGGAAGTGGCGCTGGACTGGCTGGAGGAGGGCTGTGACGAGCGGGCTCCTTGCGTGCTGATATTGCCCGGCCTGACGGGCGAATCACAGGCAGAGTATATTAAATGCCTGGTGTTTGCTGCCCAGCAGGCGGGCATGCGTGCTGTTGTCTTCAATAATCGAGGTCTGGGCGGCATCGAGCTAAAGACGCCGCGTCTCTACTGCGCCGCCAACTGCGAAGATCTGTGCGAGGTGGTGCATCATGTGCGCCGCACATTGCCCCTCGACTGCAAACTGGGTGCCACAGGCATATCCATGGGTGGTCTAATACTAGGTGAGTAATCAATGCACATAAATCAATTGTTTACCAATTAATTAACTCTCGCGGCAGGCAACTATTTGGCCCGAAAGAGCGATGAGGCGCGCATTAATCTGTCGGCGGCCAAGATCATATCCGTGCCCTGGGACGTGCACAAGGGCAGTGCCAGCATTGAGAAGCCGGTCATCAACAACCTATTGGGGCGTCATCTGGCTGGCAGTCTGTGTCGCACGCTACGCAATCACCTAGAGGTGTACAGAGACATCTATCAGGATTCGGAAATCGATATACAGCGCATATTGCGAGTAAGTAAATTAATTACAGATGAAGTTAAGACACGAGCTAAACCAGATTTTCAAATTCACCTCTAGTGCAAGACCATCAAGGAATTCGATGAGCTGTTCACGGC